TTGGTGAAGAATATTGAATATACTGTGGATTGCCAGAAGAATGAACAAATCTGTCTTCAGAGAAGTACAACTAGAATGTTCCTTAGAAGCGAGGATGGCAAGACTTCATCTTACTTACTTTGGACATATTTTTCCAGAGGGACCAGTCCCTGGAGAAGGAAATTAAACTTGGTCAAGTAGAGGGTCAGCAAAAAGAGGAACATCCTCAATGAAATAGATTGACACAGTAGCTGCAACAATAGGCTCAAACATAGCAATGATTGTCAGGATAGTGCAGAACTGGACAGTGTTTTGTTCATTTGTACATGAGGTAGTCATGAATTGGAACTGACTCAGTGGCACAAAGATTAAACAAATATTACCATTACATTACATTACATTATTTATTTACTTATTGCTACTGTGCCCTCCAAAAGGAGGGGCTTTGATTAGTCTGATGTGTATCTTGCATCTGGAACAATACCTGGAACCTAGTGGATGCTTAGGAAATATTGGTTGAATTATTAAATACCAATCCCCAGCCTTCACTGCACATTTGGTATGTGACAAGTCCTGTGCTAGAAACTTCATGGACTTTTATCTCATTTCATTTTCATAATGATATGAAGAAACACGTAGAAAGATTGATTAACTTATCCAATGGTATCCAGCAGGCAAGTGAGGAAGTCAGGATTGGAATCCAGGCAGTCTAACTCAACCTCCAAACTCTTAGGACCTGACTATATGTGCCACATGCAGCTGAGGGTACAGAGAAGGATGAGACAAAATGCTTGCCCTTGATGTCTATGCCACAGGCAACTGTTAGCACTGTGTTTATATGCTGGGGAAAACAGACCAGTTTCCATCCTTGTTAATGGAGCAAACTTTCTTCTAGAAATGTCTACATCTGCCACTCAACCTGACCTGAGCAAGACCTTAGCTACAAACTCAGAAAATCCTCTTAGGGAATATGAGAGAAATTAGCAGAACATGGGAGAGATATGGCCAGATGCTGTTTCATCAATGTGGCATCACTAATGAATGCAGGTGCAGGAACCTTGGGAAATTTTAACAATTTGAGCAAAAGCAGAATGAGTCAGAGCTAAAGAAGTGATCCTGTGGGTCTTGGGAAGATTTAGAAATAAAGTAGAGCACAGGGTACTCTTAAGAGCACTCTTAAATTTAAGAGTGTGGGGTTGCTGATTAGATAGACTGGCTGTAACTGGAGCTGCCATTTACTGAATGGTATGGCTTTGGGCAAGTTAGTTAATTTCTCTTGGCTTCTTTTCCTCACCTATAAAATGGATGTTATACCTGGCTCCTATGGTAAAGTGCTTAGCACAGAGGCACAAAATACTCAGAAAATAATGACTACTATAGTACCGATTCTTCAATTTCTGGTCCTAGGACAGGGGACTGTACTAAGAGATTAGCCACTGAAATAAAGGCAGACACTCTTGGAGACCATAATCATGGTGGGCACTTGAACTCTGGTCCTAAGAAAAAGGGTACACACTGCCCCCGTCTGTCCTCATCCTTCCCATGTGCAGCCACTAGAGGGCTATGCCTCTCTGTTTGTCAAGGTTGTTGTTGTTGTTGTTGTTATGTGCTGTCGAGTCGGACCCAACTCATAGCGATCCCTCCTTGGGTTTCTGAGGCAGTATCACTATGGAAGTAGATTGCCCCATCTTCCTTCCAAGGAGTGGCTGGTGGGTTTGAACTGCCAACCTTCTGGTTAGCAGTCAAGTGCCTTAGGCACTATGCTACCAGAGTCAAGGTTGGTTTGTTGAGATATGGCACCCAAGAAGCCCAATGGATTACCAGAAAAGGAGTTCTCTTTCCAGGGAGAGGCAAAAGAGCAACACATTCGATGAGAAATGTTCGTAGAGCAGCTGCTGAGATGTTATAGAGGGAGGCCACAGGCAGCCTACTTTGCTGTGGGCAAAGCTGTCCTTTGAGCAGATCACTCTCTATTCACTGAGAGAATTGCCTGGGGATGCCCTGGGACTTCCTGGGGCCCTGTATTGACTAAAACAAGGATCTACTTGTCTCATTGCATAACTTGGGTAATAGGGTCTTGATTTTTGAGGATCACCCTTTGAACTCATAGGGCTTTAAGACAGAAGATTAGCTTATCTTGATATAAGTAGCAAATTTCTACAGTAGTGGCAGCATCCCAATGATATATAGGAGATTAGAGATGTTTTGGAGTGATCTTCAGAAGGCAAAAGGAGCTCTGGTGGTATAGTGGTTAAAGCATTTGGCTGCTAACCAAAAGGTTGGAGGTTTGAACCCACCAGCCCTTCTGTTTGGAGAAAGATGAGGCAAACTGCTTCTGTTAAGACTTTTAGCCTTGGAAACCCTTTGATGCAGTTCTACTCCATCCTAAAGGGTTGCTCTGAATCAGAATTGACTTGATTGCAGTGGATTTTTGTTTCAGGAGGCAAAGAGTTCTTTTCCATTACTAATTCACCTTACCTTCCAACTATCAAGTAATTAGTCAATAAGAACAAATAGCCCATGGAAAACATTACTGGATCAGTCATTCTCACTGTAGCAAGGGAAATCTTTATCCCTAAAGATTTCATGCTAGATTATTAACAAACACTCCCTAAATACGGCTTCATAACTTGTCATTCTTCTCCCTTTGCTCATCACCCTAAACATTCTAGTTTTCAGAAAACACCAAAAATACCAAGTTCTTTCCAATTTACTTTTTTTCATATTTTCTTACTCTGAACACATCCACTCCTCCCTCCTTTTCCCCTGCTTTATAAAATTCCACTCCTTTATAAGACCCTGCCTCTATTTTTCCAGTGCTTTACACTCACCATTGAAAGAACATTTATCAGACTGTGGTACATTTTTGTCTCTCCTCATCATTCAATTGACTTTTTCATGTGCATCACCTCCAACCTCTGTTTGAACATCTGTCCTGACAGGGAACTCATCGCAAAGGCAATGCATTCTATTGTGGGCTAACTCTCTTTGCCAAGTTTTCCTAAAATTAGAAGCCAAATCTGCTTCTCTGATATATGGACCCAGTGATTCTCTTTCCTACAAGTTCAGTTACCTAAAATTCCTTCAGATGTGAATAAGCCTTCTCATTCTACAATGATAAATGAATCTTAAATATAGATAGATATCCTGAGAGTGGGAAATATAGGGACAATGCATTCTAAAGTTCAAATGACTGATAAGAGCAGGATTTTATTTGGGCAACCTAAGGATGAAGTCAAGAATATCAAAGACACTAGAAACATATAGACACCAAAAAATATAATATAGTAAAAAGAGCACTGAGCTAGGAAATGAAAGATGAGTTCCAGTGTGATTTATATTCTCTGAGCCTTGATTTTCTCATCTGGAAAGGAATAATTTACATGATGCATAGTTTTACTTATTACCCTAACTGCAAAATTTTGTCTGGAAATGATCCTGCTCACCTGGGCTATCTTAAGACTTTACTTTGGCTTGAGTTTCATAGTTCTGGGTGGGCAAAAGGTTGCACATGCATCAGTGGGCTCCACCCTTTTTGGTGGACACTCTTGGTGCCAAAGATGGTATGATCTACACCACCCACCATCATGTCAATCGATGAGCCCTTTATTCCCACCTGGTTTGAATCTTCCTCTCCTTACCTAGAAGCCCTGTTTCATCAGGGCTATTTATTCATCATAAATCAAGGATGCAGGTAACACATTTGATTATGAGTTTATTATATATTCTCTTTTCCTGGAGTTCTGCAAGTAAAATATTTCATAAAAACCGACTCTTTATTTGTCCTAAGTTCCACCCTACAGAGCCAGGTCATATTACAATCGCTTGATGCACAAGACCCAATGACTCAATAAATACTTTATAAAAATAATGCAATTTTTTTCTTTCTTAAAACAAAATAATTAGGATTTCCAAGATGTTAGCCTCCTTCTCTTTTTATAGCATTTACTGAGAATATACTGGTAAAGTGAAAATTGTTAAGATGGTATTAAAACAAAATAGATGAAATGAGCTCTATATTCTTTTCCTTTTTCTTTTGAAAAGTGCTATTCCCTGTGTTTGTGTCTGAAATTTCTGAACCTACTAAGATGTGACAGAAATTGTGCCATTTTAGAGTCTTTAAGCAGAATCATTGCATTATTATTATTGTTGTTGTTATGTGCTGTCGAGTCGGCCCCAACTCATAGCGACCCCTCCTTGGGTTTCCGAGGCAGTATCACTACGGAAGTAGGATTGCCCAACCTTATTATTATTATTATTATTTTAATTCTAAAGCCTTTTGATATGGTTACAAAAAGCAGACCTCAGATTTCTCCCTAAAAGATACATTTGCCTCCACATCCCACCCAGTCTGAGACAAGGGCATTCTGGAGGGCTGAGGCTTCAGCACGATGCCTTATGATGAAATAACATTTCGTTTGTGGTGGCTTTTGTTTGTTTGTTGTTTTGCTACATTTCCATCGAGTTATTATTACTATTTTTTAAATTATTATAAAATTCCCTTTCTCTTGCACTTCCCTAAGACCCTTCCTTTCTGTCTTCTCAGAGAAGTGATTAAATAGCTTCACAATGACAACTCCAGAGAAAAGGTAACACTTAAGTCACAGTCATATTAAATAAGTTATATATAAAAACTGCTTATAACGTTTACACCTTCTGCATCTTTCTGCATTTGCTTCTTTCAGAAACACTGGATTGGGTGTGAATCAAGTCCCACCCACTATCCTCTCCAGGTCTTTCTCACTGCTTTTTTGTCCCATTCACCTGCCTACAATGCTCCTAAAGTGATATCCAAGAGGTCTGTAGGCACTGAAGAAGGCAAGAGTGGTTTCAGATGGCAGTCACCTGAGCCTGGCACACACCTCTAGGGTAATTTATAAAAAATATTCAGGTAGTATATACAAATATACACATATGCAGGTAAGGAGGACTCTGCTCCAGGCAGGCAGATCAGTGCAAGTGCATCTGTGTCACAAATGCCAGAGGTGATGCCCATCCCTCTTTACTTCATCCCCAGTCTCTTAATACTCCCTGGCCTCTTGGAACTGCTTGAAGTAATCTTCATCTGAAGGACTCTCTGTGCACTTCTGTCCATTGTTGGGAGGTCGAGCCTCATTATACCTGCTCCAGTCACCCTTGCAGATAATCCAAGGCAGAATGTCCACTTTGTAGTGGAGCTCTGCCGAGAACTCTGTGCTGATAAGATTGGGTGTCCCTGCCCCTTTGCCCCTGGTGATGAGTTGCATATTGTCACCATAGCAACAGTGCTGAGCAGCCAGTGTAGTGCTCTCTAGGGACAGCATGGAACGGATGCAGTACCGGGCTGTGGGCTTGTAGATCTCTAACTTCTCCTTGGGTCCACTGGCATCCTTCCATCGGAAGTCCTTGTGCTTGATGCGGTCAAAGATGTCTGCTGTGCTGTAGGCCACTTCGGTGGGATAGGAGCAGGGGCAGCTGGGAAGGTCATTGATTACCTTGTGCATGTACTTCTTCAAGAACTCACTTTTGCAGCTCATCCATCGCTCACAGCTGTCTGTGTCTGAAAAAGGCCACAGAGAAACCGTCTCATCACATGCAAAACTGGACTAAGTTAAAATCAATGAACACCTCCTTCCTTGAATCCTAGTCCCCTGCAGCTGCCTGGAGCTGCCAGGCCATAGAAGGCCACTCTTATCTCTTATGGTGTTGGAGATGACTGAGAGTTTCTTTGTCTATAGGCTCCCCCCAACCCACTCAGCACACATTTTATATTATGGCAAATTTTTAAATGTATATAAAAGTAGAGAGAATAGTAGTTATATAATGACTGCCCACGGGAGCTCTGGTGACATAGTGCCTAAGGCATCTGACTGCTAACCATAAGGCTGGTGGTTCAAACCCACCAGCCACTCCTCAGAAGGAAGGTTGGGCAATCTTCTTTTGTAGTGATATTGCCTCAGAAAACCAAGGAGGGGTTGCTATGAGTTGGATCTGACTTGACAGCAGTGATTTTTTTTTTTTTTTAATGACTGCCCATAAGCCATCATCTAGATTTAACCATCATTCCATTTGCTTCATCTTTTGTCTTTCATTTAGTGAAAATGTATATTACCCCTAAATATAACTAGGAAAAAAATAAATAAAAGGAATATTTTCCTAGGTAACAATAGTCCCATGACCATCCCTAACAAAATTAACAATAATTTACAGGGCCATTTTGAATCTCCTCTCTAAACAAGGGATGATGTGATGGGAATGCCTAAGAAAAAACATCTGAAGGACTAAGTTTCATTTCTGCCACTCACTTTCTGATATGAACTAGGGCTAGACTTTTAATCTTAACCTTAGAAATTAAAAAATCATGGTATGTACATCTGCATAAAAAGAATCAGTGAGGAAATGAAGGAGTTGTCCCTGCTTTTAGGGGACTTAACATTTAGACTAGATTCCCAAGGTGGTACAAAAGATTAACGCTCTTGACTGTGTAAGCCCACCCAGAGTTGCCTCAGAAAAAAAGACCTGGTGATCTACTTCTGAAAAATCAGCCATTGAAGACCCTCACTCACAGGAGGTTGTCATGAGTTGCATTTGCCTCAATAGGAACTTTTTATTTTTTGTTAAACAGTTAGGCTAGAGGTCACTGATGAGTAGCCCTCAGGCCAGATACTACTTGAGATGATGTCGTGTTTGGTAATTCCAGCAGTAAAACATATTGAATTTGTTGCCAACATTTAAAAAGTAGGTAATTTTACTAATATGTGGATCCCTAGCTTCATTTGAAGAGCTCTGGTAGTGTAGTGCCTAAGGGACTTGACTGCTAACCAGAAGGCTGGCGGTTCAAACCCACTAGCCACTCCTCGGAAGGAAGATGGGGCAATCTACTTCCATAGTGATACTGCCTCGGAAACCCAAGGAGGGGTCAGTCGCTATGAGTTGGGTCCGACTCTACAGCACAAAACAACAACAACAACAACAGCTTCATTTGACAAATCCAAAGATGTGTCCACACTGGCCCTGCATTCCTCCATAGGGAACCACTGGCTCCCGTGAACAGGAGAACAGGGATCACTTCTTGGACAAGGGTGCAGGTTCTTCAGCTCACCCAAGTCTCTGCCTGATCACTTCATTTATGGGCATTGCTTCACCATCTGAGTCTGTGATCAGATTTATTGAATGAATATCTTAGTTGGGTTTCTCCTAGAGGTGAAGAAAACTAAACTCACTGCTATCAAGTTGGATCCAACTCATAGTGACCCCTCCTTGGGTTTCCTAGGTAGTATCCCTATGGAAGTAGATTGCACAATATTTTTTCTGAGGAGTGGCTGGTAGGTTTGAACTGCCAGCCTTCTGGTTAGCAGTCAAATGCCTTAGGTGAGGAGTGCAGTCAAAATTGTTCTTTGGGACATGATTCTAAAAAACAATAGTTGGAGAGCAGGGGAGTGAGATAGGGAAGAGAAAGTAGTCAATAGAGAACCAAACCAATCCAAACCAGTTTCAGTTGAGTGGACTCCGACTCATGGAGATCCCATGTGTATTAGAGTAGAACTGTGCTCTATAGGGTTTCTAGGGGCTGATAGATCACCAGACCTTTCGTCTGTGGCACCTCTAGGTGGACTTGAAGTGCCAGCCTTTTGTTAGCAGCAGAGTGAACTAGCCATTTGCACCTCCAGGGATCCTAAGCCAATACAGGGTGCATAATAAATAGATAAACTGTGCAGGCAATTGGAGGAGCTCCGGCGGCATAGTGCCTAAGGCATTTGACTGCTAACCAGAAGGCTGGTGGTTCAAACCCTCCTCAGACAGAAGGTTGGGTGATCTACTTCTGTAGTGATACCACCTCAGAAACTCAAAGAGGGGTCGCTATGAGTCAGATCTGACTCCATGGTAGTGAGTTTGGTTTTGGTTGGCAGGCAGCTGGAGCTCAACTCTGCCGGGGAAATAATGCAGAGAATACACCTGAGAGCTTTCCCATTTAAAGGGTGATAAATCTGGATATGGACCCATCAGCTCCCATCAACAACTGAAGCAGGTCTGCTTTTGAACATGTCTTGTTGACGCACTTCCAGTCATTATGCCTTCAGGGGCCTGTGAGTTCTGGAGGCCAGGAAAAGCCTTCAGGAGAAGAAACACAGGAGCTGCCATGTGTGAGATTGGGCTGATGTGCAGGGACATGGTGGGTACCAAGGGGGCATGAGCAAGGCATCCACAGTATCTGGCTCAGTGTGTTACAGTGTGTAAGCTGACATGCACACACTAGGGAAGCCAGTTGTGGTGGAATGTGGGGTACATCAAGGTAGACAAAGGCAAAATGCACATCGGCGTCCATGTCATATCATGTATCATGTAGGTACATGTCATCTCATGTATCATGGAGGTCTCCAACACAGTTTAGGCTTGTATAGAGGGCAATAAGGAGGCATTAAAGGTTTGCAAATCATAGTGGATTATTGATTTTTTTCTGTTATTTATTTTTAATAATATTTTATTGTGTTTTTGGTGAAAATTTACAGTTTAGGTTCCCATTCAACAATTTCTACACAAGATATTTAGTGACATTTTTCACAATGTGTGAACATTCTCTTATTTCCATTCTGGTTTTCCATTCTCGTTAATTTAGTTTCCCTACCCCTTACATTTTCATCTTAGTTTTGATGTAATTGTTGATCATTTGGTTCCATATAGGTAATTTTTAAAAGGAGTGCAGTATTTATGGGTGATATTCATTATTCTTTTAGACCATTTTTTATTTAGGTACAAGGTGACCTCATGGGTTAATTTCAGTTCAAGGTTTGAAGAGTGTCTCAGGGCAATAGTCTCATGGAGTCCTCCAGTGTCAACCAGTCCAGTAGGTCTGGTTTTTTTTTTTTTTTAAGAATTTGAGATTCTGTTCCACATTGTCCTCTCTATCAGGATCCATCTATTGTAGCCCTGATCATAACAGTCAATAACACTAGCTGGGAAACATCTAGTTCTTCTGGTCTCAGAGTAGATGAGGTTTGTGAAGATTATTTACCCTGTAGGCCATTGTGGGTTATTAACTGATCTTTATAGTGAGAAAATGAATTCAGCACTGATAATAGAATGGATAATCATAGAGAACAACTAGAACCAGTTGTAGGGGTCCAGGTGAAATATTCTGGGAAAGGAAAACCAGGTAAAATCAAGAGTAGTCAAAGATTTAGAGCTGTCAGAACTTAGTGGCTGATGGACTTAGGGGTAAAGAGAGGAAAGTTATGACTTTCAGACTCTGATCCTGGTCTCTGGGAGGTTGATTGTGCCATAGGTGAAATAAGGAAGGGTTATAGCTTGGAGAAGGACTCTAATGTCAAAGGAAGATGAGGAAGAGGGAGACTGGGGCATCTCCAATGAGTTAAGAAAGGCCTAGTGTAAGGTTGAGGGCTTGGGATCTCATACTAGACTGCCTGGGATTGTACTCCAATTCAATTATTTATTAGCTTTATGATCTTAAAGATACCTCACTGCGCTGTACTTCAGTTTTTTCATCTCCAAATTGGGGGTAAAAATATGGCCTATTTCAGAACACTGAGGAGGAATAAATGGAAGAGAACCTAGCAAGTCCTCAGAACAGGGTCCAGTGTGCTGTCAGCTGGGATAACATCTGAGGCTCATTTCAGCTCTAAGGGTTTTGATTCCATGGCTGCAACCACTGACTAAGCAGTTGTTGAGAAAATGGTAGTTTGATCCTGGGAAGTTCTGTCTGCAAATTCCAAGGGATCACCCTCAGAAGGCAGGATCTTCAGAAACAAAATTCAATGGGATGAAGAAGCCCAGAAAATAGCTCTAAAAGTTCCTTCCAAGGTGTGGTATTCATGTAGCTACCAAGCATACATTGACTTTTTTTTTTAAAAAAATGGTTTATTTATCACGCTTATCTAATGCTTTCTTTATGTTGGGCACACTTTAATTGTCTTATAGGCACTATTATCTCAATAGGTTTACAGATCAGAAAACTGAGGCAGGACTAAGTAAAGTAACTTGATGTTGTACAAGTCAATCTTTCTCATCTCTGCTGAGCATCTTCCATTAATCCTTCTCTACAGACATCCTATGCTTCTCCTTGCCCTGGAAGTTTGACTATGTGGACTGTGTCAATAGTTTCCTTAACCCCTGGCTTCCCATTGGGCTCAGTCAATGGGAGGACTCAGTAAGAGACTCAAGGAAGGGAGGAGAGTGATATCAGAGTATCCCCTTGGCTCTTTTTTCACTAATACAGATTGGCTGCATCCTTTTGGGGACAAGAACTGCTGTAAGGTGGCCTCTCCAGATACTCACTTTCTGGGTTCCAGTGACCACTCCTTCTCCTAGCTCCTTTAGGCCAAGGGAAGGTAAGGGCTCCCAGTGTTGCCAGTCTTGGGTTCTGTTCAAGCCCTTGTTGATTTCCTTCCATGCTAATTAGCTTCCACCCTTCTCATAAATTTGCGAACAGTTCTGTTATCAAATGCTCCTCAGTCACCTACCTATTTTGAGTGACCCATGTCCTTTCTTACCAGACCCTGACTAGTCCGCCATGACTCCTCACTCTTGTGTGCTGTTGGCTGCACACAGGGTGAGCCCTTATGCATCTGGACTGGTACCCTGCAAAAGCTTGCCCATTGCCATGGAGACTGCATAGTAAGCAAGGTAGTCACAACTAATGGTGGCCAAATCATGGCTGACTCATTTGGATGGGGCCTATGTTCTTCATTTTCCCACAGTCCTCAGTACTCTCTAATGTCTCCTGATACTGTAGCTTTTTTTGTTTTTCATCATTGTGCTTGAACTATTTTTTTTCATTTCTTATACTCTAGACTTTTTCTGCTTGGATTTTTGTCTCCTATAGTTGTTTGAGGAAAGTATTTACCAGATTAAGGAGCCCTGGTGGTGCCATGGTTAAGCACTTGGCTGCTAAACAAAAGATCCATGGGTTGAAACTGTCAAGTGGCTCTCTGGGAGAAAGAATTGGTGATCTTCAATAAAGATCATAGCCATAAAATCCCTGTGGGGCAGTTCTGCTCTGTCATATGGGATCGCTATGAGTCAGAATGGACTTGATGGCACACAACCAACAAAACAACAACAACAACATTTACTAGATATCAAACAGCAGAGATGTGAAAAATTGGGACTTAGGACTGCTAACTTCTTTTAAAAAAAAGTCATTTATTTTATTTATTTTTGTTGTTAAAAATATACACAGCAAAACAAACACCAAATCAACAATTTCTACATGTACAATTCAGTGACATTGATTACATTCTTCAAGTTGTGCAACCACTCTTACCCTCCTTTTCTAAATTGTTTCTTCTACATTAACATAAAATCACTACCCCCTAAGTTTCCTATCTAACTTTAGAATTTCTGTTGTCAGTTTGATCCCACATAGATAGTTCTTTAAAAGAATAAAGTGCTCAAGGCAGACATTCTTTACTAATTAAGCAAAGCTGTTTGGTTTAAAGAAGACTTCAGGGGATGTTTTTGGGTTAAGGTTTAACGATTATCTCAGGCAATAGTTTTAGGGATTGTTCCAGCCTTATTGACTCCAGAAAATCTGGCTTTTAGAATTTGAAATTCTGTTTGGTTTTTCTTTCTCTTTTCATTAGGATTCTTCTATAGAATCTCTAATCAAAGTTTTCAGTGATGGTCGCTGGCACCATCTAGTTCTTTTGGTCTCATGGCAAAGAAGGCAGTTGCTCATGAAGGCGATTTGCTACTATTCCTAACTCCTCTTCTTCCACTGTTGCTCCAGGTGAATAGGGACCAATTTTTGTACCTTAAATGGGTGGTTGCAAGCTTTTAAGACCCCAGTTACAACACAATGAACTAGGAGGTATAACAAAAGCTCTAAACATGATGTTAAGACATTTAACTTGGATGTCCCATGAAACCCTATATCTCCAAACCAAGAAACCAAATCCCATGAAATATTTGGGGTTGTACATAAGCAGCCTCAGCAGCTGCTCTCTCTCTCTCTCTTTTTTTTTTTTTTAATGTATATCATATAACATTCGTCATTCAAACTTTGTACAAATGGACAACTTATTGACATCAGTAACATCAATCAGCTGTGCAACCATTAGCCTTAATCAATGAGAATTTTCTATCACTGTAAAGAGAAACTCAGTGCTCCATATCTTTTAACTTGTGCAACAGGGACAGAAATGAAGAGACTAAGAAAGAATTTATGGGTAGCAAAAGAAATAGGGTAAATGGAGTCTTATTCTTATACAATATAGAATTACATGCAGAAACACATGAAGCTATTTTCAAAAGGCAAGATTTCACCTTGCACCTAAGTAGTCATTTTCATTTTTGTTTGGGCTAGACTTACTTGTATTTACTTTTGTACTTTTTAGCAGACAAATAGCAAGGTATGCCAAAGGTTTATGAAAAATTCTTGGGTTATAATATTGAAAATATTTTCTCTCTCCTCCCTCTACTAAAGAACTTGGATAATCATTTCTTTATTTTACTGGGGAGAGCTCATGAGTGCTGTGAGAGCAGATTCCATGGCAGCTTGTGCCCCTCCTATGGACTGACTTGTCACTAAAGGAAGAGAGTGATTCCTGCCTGCCTGTTGCCATGGGGCTGCATAGCAAGCAGGGTGGACATGAAAGTGTTACTTGGCTCCGTCTGGTGCAGGAGAAATGGGATTGCTCATCTTGCTTGGAGTATGTTCAGTGCGCAAAAAATATGCTGGGAGAATTGGACCCCATCAGAGGAAAATGAAACTTTAAATGGATCCAAGGTTGACATTGCAAAGGCAAAAGGAATCTTCAAAGCACTAAATCAATATTTGGATAAAGAAGGGGGAAAAAATAAAAACTTCTTACCAACTTCAAACAGTTTGGTGGCATTAAACTCCTCACTTCCCGCAAGCAGACTCACTTCAGTGGCAGCTGTCCTGAAGGTGTCTTCAATTCCTGTACATATACAATAGCTCATTTTTCCTTCGTTATATGGAAAAAGTCAGTCCCTCCCCTCGAAAAATTAAAAAAAACAAATACACCTGAACAAAGCCTTTTTTGTATTCATTACTACTCTCTGGCAGAACCTTCCACAGAGGAAACAGTAAAAAGCAGGTAGTAGAACATAAAATATATGAAAACCCCAGATACCACTTGTAGCATGAAATCATACCCAAATGTTCATGAGTCCTAAGGAATCACTCACTAGGCCCAAGGATGGGGTCTTGGCATTGTGGGACATGTGGCAGGATGACTGGTGGTATCAGGGTGACAAACTAAGCTAGAGACAACTGAGTGTAGTGTTTAATACCATGTCTTTGGAATCTCCAAACCAAAACTCCAAACTCATTGCCCTTGAATCAGATCCAACTCATAGCGACCCCTCCTTGGGTTTCCAAGGCAGTATCACTATGAAGTAGGTTGCCCAATCTTCCTTCCAAGGAGTGGCTGTGGGTTTGAACCGCCAACCTTCTGCGAAGCAAACGCTTTAGGCACTATGCTACCAAAGCTCCCTTTGGAGACTAGGTTCAAATCATACTAGGTATGTGACTCTGGACAAACCAGTTAATTTTTCTGTGTGCCTCAGTTTCCACATTTCTAAAATGGAAAGGATAGAATGACACACTTCATAGCATTGTTGAATTAATTAAATGAATTACATGTAAAGAAAGCATTTTGAGTAGTAAGGGGTCAGTGTTAGCAGATATTTTCCCCTTGATATTTGTTTAGCTCATTTTGAAGATGCAGCAGTCCACAGGCAAAGACCAGATATCCCATGCCCTAAGACTCTTAGCATTGTCCATGGTGCTCCAGAATGAATAAGGTGGGCTTGCCATTACTTGCTGTGAGGAACTGGAACCATCTTGCCTCCACCTGGTACCAAACTAACAACCCCCAACCAGACTACTTTACAAATAGGAATCCTGTGCAAACAAAAGCAAGTGGGAAGGATTGATGGAACATAAGGTTTTTGTTGGAAACCTTCAGTCTCCCTGCTGGGCATGACTTGATTTCCTTTAAGTGTTTCTCTCTGACTTTATTTAAATTGCCTCAAACTTATTTTTAGGGGACAAACCTTTTACAGTATAGTATCTGCCAGGCCAGTGGGACCTTCTCTGTCCCATGATTCTCTTTAGTAGGGTTGAGAATGAAGAAAGCCCAATAAGAAAAAGATCCCCAAAATGAAAATCCTTCATGCTGCAAGGGAGACCTGAAAAACTGGAACCAGGGACAGAAACAGAAAGGATGGAAATAGGGTAAAGATAGAGACCAGGAACATGCATGAACAGGGCTGCTGGCCACACCATTCTTAGTGGTGAGAGAAAATGAGAAGGAAACATTCAAAATGGTGGCAGAGATGAGTCTGAGAAGACACCTTGGGTCTGGGTGCCAGTTCTTGAAGAAGACACACGGCAAGTCTCAAATACCCTGACATTATATGCTATCTATATCCATATGTGGCTGAACCCTGATACCCATCTTGCTGGTGGAGAGGGGAGAACTTAATGATTAAGAACATAGACCCCTGAATCAGACCTTCTGCCTTCAAATTCCACATAAATCACTTGTAGCTTCTGTGACTCTAAGCATATTAAGCACTTGTGCTTGAGTTTGCACAGCTGTCAAATGGGTACAACAATAATAATAATGCATATTTAGGAAGTTACATGAAGATTGAATCAAATAATACTCTTAGAAATGTGCTTGATACATAAGTACTCTAAAATCTTATTCTTCATGATTTCCTTTATCAACATTTTTTATTTCCTTCTTCTCCTTCACCTCCTCTCTGTCTTCCTCCTCCTTCTGCTTATTCATTATATTCTCCTTCACTGCCTTCATTTTCTTTTCCTCCTCATATTGATTGATTGACTAATTTCTACCTATCTAAATCTCATCCACACTACCAGTTTCCATAACGACCTCACCTTCATCATGATGAGCATGAGAAAGATCATGAAAAGCACCCTGATGGTTGTTCCATTTGTTGAGATCCTTTTGTGTGGTGGGCATGGAGCTAGGACTGCCACTTCTTACATGTCACCATCACTTTCTACATATATCATTTCTGCTAACACACATTCATTCCAAATTGACCCTTCTTTTTCCTTGGGGACCTCTTTGCTCTTCCACTTCTTTTTAGTTTGAAATCTTGGCTTCACGATTTGAAAATAGAAGATTTAAGGGCTATTACAAGGAAGTCTGGGGTGGAAGGTCCAATTTTCTCACTAAAGTTTCATTCCAATGAAGCCATTTAGAATGTGTAGTTTCTATGATGAACCAAAGATATTGTTTTAGGCTGTATTCTACCCAGCAATGGGCAATACACAGATATATAAAGGATCAGATAATAAATATTTTATGGTTTGTGGGTCATATAGGGAGCTCTGGTGACATAGTGACTGTGGCATTTGACTGCTAACTAGAAGGTTGGCCATTGAAATTCACCAGCCGCTCCTTGGAAGGAAGGTTGGGCAATCTACTTTCGTAGTGATTTCACCCCAGAAACCCAAGAACGGGTCGCTATAAGTTGGATCCGACTTGACGGCAGTGAGTCTGGTTTTGTTTTTGGGTCATATATGGTTTGGGTTGCATATCCTTCTTCTTTTTGTTTTTTAACAATGCTTTAAAAATGTGTAGGCCATGCAAATACAAGCCATGGGCCACACCTGGCCCAAGGGCCATAGTTTGAAAACCCTTGCTATAGACAGGCTCAAGAGTTCTGGTGGCATAGTGCCTAAGGCATTTGACTGCTAACCAGAAGGCTGGTGGTTCAAACCCACCAGCCACTCCCTGGAAGGAAGGTTGGGAAATCTACTTCCATAGAAACCCAAGCAGGGGTTGTTATGAGTCAGATCCGACTTGATGGCAAACACACCAACAACCACAACATAGACAGGCTCACTTATTTTTTACCCCCACTGTGATCTCTTATCAAGTTTTCAATTGTTGTTGTTGTTATGTGCCATCGAGTCAGACACGACTCATAACAACCCCTCCTTGGGTTTTCAAGGTGGTATCACTATGGAAGTAGATTGCCCAACCTTCCTTCTGAGGAGTGGCTGATGGGTTTGAACCACCAGCCTTCTGGTTAGCAGTCAAATGCCTTAGGCACTATGCTACCAGAGCTCCCACGTTTTCAATTAGTTAAAAAACAAACAAACAAACAAAAAAAACCTAAGAAAGAATCACAAAATAATAACTATATTGCCAAGTTTCCCCAGTTTTCTCTCTTGGGAGCCATTGGCAATTCTCAGGCACTACAGGGCAGATAAACTGTGTGGTTTTTCTGTAGATGGCTATCAAGCTTTTTGTCCTAGCTTCCTTATCAGACTGTGAATGTCTATTTAATGTAATCTTCAAGATACAAACAAATGTACATCAAAGGTCCAAATTAGCCAAATCCCTCTTTTAAATTCAGCAAGTACCATATGACCTTGTACCCTAAGTCATGGCTACTGCAATTATGCATAAGATTCAGAAAATTCATTTTTTTATCTCTTCAACTAACTAATGTTCTCCTATTGTCTCACTATTCAGAAGTCTTATAAAGGGAAGGGTTGTCATCTCAAAAGCCAATTTTTATAATTTTTAAATATAAACTAATAGCTTCCTCTTTAACTTAGAGCCATACCCGTGTGTAAACCCACCTGGGCAGTTTGGATGGTCACATGTCCTCGATTCTGTTGCTGTGCATGCATAGCCACAAGACCGGGTCCGTTTCTGGTTGCCGTTCCCACAGGTGACGCTGCAGACAGACCAGAGACTCCAGTCCCCCTCACCATCTGTGGAATCTGGAAGGGAGCCAGGGAGATGGTCATCAACTTTGCCAAGAGATTCCCCTTGTCTTCCCAATCAAGCAGCTTGTCAGTTCTACTTCCATTATCTCACTATTGGAGATGGCCAGATGCCAGCTGGAGCCAAAAGCTAGAGCTTTAGGACTCACCTTAAGGATCAGCTTCATTAGGGGCAGGGACTTTGTCTGAGATTTTAGGCACTGTGGTGGTCAGTACATGGCCAGAAGCTGAATCCCTAGAAGGTACCCAGTAAACACTTATTGAGAGTGACTACATCTGCAGAGCATGGGATCATGGAATAATATGTTGGGTAGTTTTCAAAGATGACCTCCACTGGTTCCTTCCCTCTCTAGTCATACATCCACCCATCAACTATCTATTTCCCTTTCCCTAGAATCTGGGCTGGCTTTGTGACTTGTTCTGACTAATAGAATACAGTGGAATTGATGCTGTGCTGGTTATGAGCCTAGGCCTTGAGAGGCCTGGCAGCTTCTAGCTGTGGCTTTAGGAAAAGAAGCTCCAGCTAGACCTGTGAATTATAGGACATTACAAGGAAAGGAAACCACATGAAGAACTGAGGTACTAGCCATGTGCATGAAGCCTTTTTGAATCTTCCAGCCCCACACAGGGCTAGCTGAACTCAGCTGAATGAATAACCCAGCCAATGCTAGGAGGAATAGAGGAATTGCTCAACAGATTCTGCCTGAAATCCTGAGCCAAAGAATCAGAAATAATAAATTGGTGTTTTAAGCCCCCCTGTTCTGGGGTGGTACAAACAATGCATAACATTAAAGCTAGAAATAGTCTTTCATAAGACTACCCAACATATTATTCCATGATCCCATGCTCTGCAAATGTAATCACTCTCAAGTAGTATTTACTGGGTACCTTCTAGGGATTCAGGTTCTGGCCATGTACTGACCACCACAGTCCCTAAAATCTCAGAAAAAGTCCCTGCCCCTAATGAAGCTGATCCTTAAGATGAGTCCTAGAGCTGTAGCTTTTGGCTTTAGCTGGCATCTGGCCATTTCATAGAAATAGTCATCATTCAACATCCATCCACTGAGTCCCACTACCTAAAAGACTGGTGGTTCAAGTCCACCCAGAAATGTCTCAGAAGAAAGGCCTGGTGATCTACATCTGAAAAATCAGCCACTGAAAACATTAAGGAGCCCAGTTCAACTCTGACACACATTGGGTAACCATGAGTCAATGGCAACTTTATTTTTTAAAAAATATTCCAGGCATAATTCTATGTAGGATATATCACTAAATAAAACTTCCAAAGGTCCTTGCCCTGGGAGAACTAACATTTTAGTAGAAAGAGAGAGATGATAATTAGTAAACATAATAAATGAATGAAGTATTTAGTACGTTAGAAGTTGATAAGCAATATGCGAAAATGAAATATTGGCATAGTGCCCAAGGCATTTGACTGCTAACCAGAAAGCTGGTGGTTCAAACCCACCAGGCACTCCTTGGAAGGAAGATTGGGCAATCTACTTCTGTAGAGATACTGCTTCGGAAACCGAAGGAGGGGTCGCTAGGAGTCAGATTCGACTTGACAGCAATGAGTTTTTTGGTCTTAATGGTGCCTGGGAGGGCGAGAGGTATGGGGAAGGTTGGAACATTAAGAAGACTTGGAATGGTTGAGTGACTTGTCCAAGGTCATACAGTTACCATAAGGGAAAGGTTGGGCTACAGCTTTAAGCCCTTGATCTCTAAAGCATTCCTCTTTCTGCAGTTCCTCCACTGTGCATTCATTTCTTCTGGTCTACTCAAATGCTTCTATAGTCCTGAGGCCTCTGCTGATGCCAAGCATGAAGCAATATGCTTGAGCCTTACAGGGAAGGATGGCCTCATTTATAACAGGTTATGTGATTGTTATTACGTAGGCTTGGCAAGAATGCTGTCCACACATGTTTCTACCTGAACTGTGGGCCCCTTGCCAGCCTTGCAGCCCATTGTTTACATGGCGTTCATTCAGAACACTCCTCAGGCAAACACAGTGGCAGAGCCTCCTCAGCCCATTAAGCGGAGTCAGAAGGAGATTCATGGCTGTATCCTATTCCCTAAGCCTGAGGGGAAACTTTGTCTCTTACCTCCCTTCCCCAGGAGCCCCCTCCATTTCTCCCCCCTCTCAAAAAAGAATTTTTCCAAACTTTGATTCTCTTTTGAGAAATGATTTTCCAACCACATAGCCAAGGCAGATGTTTGAAACCATTGCCTTATGTGAGGGAATTGGGCCTGCTTCTCCAGCTTCAGCCTCCTTTGCCTCTTTACCACTTCTTACTACAGAACTGCAGAGACAAGTTGCTTCCAGAGGGGGGGGAAAAAAAAAAACACTGAGGTAGGGGTAGTTGCTGTTCTGTTTCAGACCTGCACAGATCTGGGCCCAACCAGTGATCTTCCGGAGAACCCCAGAGAGGTGTCTAAAACACACTCACAATCATACCCTTCTCAGCAGAAGCATCCAGCTTCTGTGGGATCTACACACATGCACATTGAACCACATCCTGCACACACCACAGAGGCCAGATTTTGCTAAAGGGAACAAACAAACAAAAAAAGAGTCAGAAGTTAAGATTATAATGTTTTTATACCCATAAAAAGGGGGAAGTGGGTAAGTGAGAAAAAGCTCCTTAAATCACATTTAAGTAGAGTTCATGTCACCTGTGAGGTAGGTACAAGCATAAAAAATAATTCAATGATGCCAAGTGGTGTCCTTCTTGGCTCAGCCAGAGCAACGGGGCCTCAACCATCCAGAAATCTGCTGCAACCTTTCCTCCCTGTAACAGTAATGTAGAGAGTGCATTTTGGGAAATATCATCTTTGAAATCTGAGATTTTAGCATGAAGCTATAAATCCATATGAATATTATACTGGAATTTGCATGAAGTAATTTTTTTTTTTTATTAGAACTAAATTATTAAATGTTAGTACTGGGGCAGATAGTTTGAAAAATGACTTCCATGATTTCTCTCCCCATATTCCTACTCCCTTGGTTACTCCCCTCCAATGCTGAACCTAGGCTGCCAGTCCACCTTGCCCAGTTCCCCATCCCCCTGTGATTTGCTTTGACCTATGGGACAATAGCAAACCTGATGCAAGCTGAGGCTTGAAAAGTGCTTGTGCATTAGAGTCTGTCATCTCATGCTGTTGGGGACTCTTCCTCCACGGTGTGAAAACCCTGGGCTAGTCTCCTCGAGGGTGAAGAGCCATGTGGAGACAGTCAACAGACAACTCAACATCCCAGCTGGGGCCCCATCTTTGTGAGTGAGGCCATCCTAGATCATGCAGCCCAGCTAAGCTAGCCAGACCAGCAGGATGGTTCAGACCACCACAGAACCATGAGAGAGGTTTCATTTGTTGTTTTGCGCCTCGACATTTTGGGGTAGTTGCTTAGCAGCAAGATCCAACTGCCACAAATACATTATGCAATCCTCCCTAAAATTAACTATCTTAATAGGGAGCAGACTTAGGATTCATAACGGATTTATCATCCCAGTAAGTAGCCTTTGCCATGTCTTTGTTTTAAATGCTCACAAAGGTATTTTTTCCAAATGTTTTTTATATGAATACTCAAAAGTTAGGAATTACCCAACCATACCCACTGCCATCAAGTCAATTCTGACTCAAAGTGACCCCCATAGGGTTGTCAAGGCTATAAATCTTTATAGGAGCAGACTGCCTCATCTTCCTCCAGTGGAGTGTCATGTGGGTTTGAACAGCTGACCCATCCACTGGTTAGCTGCTGAATGAGTTAACTACTGTGCCACCAGAGCTCCTTAAAATTAGGCATGAAACGTCTATATAGTTATGTGGCTAATCATTTCTATTGAAATTAGCAATGATACAACCTAGGAAGAAGTGTATATGTCAGCTCACCATCCAGAAGCCTCCATAGCATACCAGCCCAAATGAACATTCAGGAAAAGTTGTCCCTCTTGGAAACTTTCTATTTAATATGTTCAAAGGACAGAAAGGAAATTTCTGACTGTGGGACAAAGCTTTGAGGGCAATACTTCTTTTTCCCATAGTAGGCCTGTTCTCACTCACCCACCTCCCAAGGAGCATTGCTCAGAGAAAGAAAATTAATGTTAATGACAGAGTCATCACAAAGATAACAACAATGACAGTAAAAAAACAGTCCTTGTGAACATGTATAGGGTGCTTTGACAGCCCCTGAGATACCAAAGACTTCAATGAGGTAAGAAAGACATCCTCACGCAGTGGCCTGATAGCTGGGTTTTGAAGATACAACTTGGAATTTTTAAGTAGTCCTCACATAGTTTCAAGGAACGGGAGTTCCATGGGCTAATTGGAGTGTCAGGGCAACTGAAGTGACTTGGGTCTTGGCTTGTCCCCTGGGAGAGCCTCCACTATTTATCCTAGATGATAGTGGCTATCATTGAGTGAGAGACTACCCCATACAGCTACTTTACATATATGCACTGATTAAATTCCTACAACAACCCTGCCAGTAAGTGGAAACATCCTTCTTTCAGTACCTGTGAACATTTATATAGTGCTTTGACAGATGCTTGACAAACCTCTTTCTCAATCCATTTCCCAGACTTCCTTGCAACTAGGTGGAGCTATATTACTTGGTCTTGCCCATAGAATTTGAACAGATGTGATGTTTCACCTGTAGCTGAAGTGGTTAAGAATGTGTGTGTGTGTGTGTGTGTGTGTGTCTTTTCCAGACTCTGTCTCTTTCCTTGGCTACTAGTCAGATGCAGAGCATGCAGCAGATACATCTCAGGCCCTAACAGGTGACAGAGCTCCAAAGTGGAAAGATCCTGGGTTCCTGAATGACTGGAGCCAAAATCCCCCTACTCTGTCTCCCATCTCAATTCAAGTGAGAGTAAACCTTTTATGATTCTATGTCACTGAATTTAGAAGTTGTTTTCTACCTCAGCTATCCTACTATAAATACTGGTAAAGGAAAAGTCCTGGCTCAGGCTCTTGGAATTTAGTAGGGCATGGTTTCCTTACTTTGACAACCTGTGATACACATGTTCATGTAGATTCCTGGGGATCCACTTCACCATCTCCTACCAATGTCAAACAGCTGGATGTGTTTCTTTCACTAAATTAATTGTCAATATGAATTTTTATAGTAAGAAATCCAAACAAGTTAATTTGGTTATTTCTTCATTTTTAGAAAAAGAATTATTTTTTTAAAAGGGAAAACTCCAAAGACCCCTAACTTAAAGAAAAAAAAAAAAAAAAAAACTCTTCTAGGATAATTGGTATGATTTTAAAATTATAGTCTTTCCAGAAAAATGTGGCTGCTGGTGCCTTCTTGGGGCTTCTGTGGAATAAAGCCTTTATGAGGTATGCTTTATAGAAGACTGAATGCCACATACTGTAAACTGGGTTTTGCTTGGCTCTGTGTCCTTTAGGCTTTATCATCCTCATTTATTCTCACCACTAATTTTATAATACTGGGTGGTAAACTCACCATATTCTGGCTGCTCTTTGGTTTCAAAAGTCCGGTGACCTGGGGATGGACGGTCCCACCCCCTGGGAGGGTTGAGGAAGTTGCTGTCATCTGAAGTACTGTCATACTTGTAGTCCTGATCCCCGCTGTTCACCCTTGCCAAGGACATGGACCTTTGCCACCAGGCCCGCCAGTCAGGGGATGGGACTGACCAGCTGGGCTTATTCTCTGGATGCTGGTCTTTGTCTGCTTCAGAGTCAGGACCGTCGACCACTTCTATGGTGACCTGAAGAATTCAGAACACGCCAGGGTCAATGAGGAGCCAACAGCATCCAAGCTGTATGATCCTTGCAAGAAAGTCTGACAGAGCACAGGGAGTGATGGCTGCATCTCTCATGAAGGAAAGCTGAGACTGCATGGTAACATGGAATGGGAAACATCCAGGGATGCCCAAATGACTTCCATGACTAGACAGCACTGATGTACATGGACTTTGGGTTAGGGGTATTTTGTCATCAGGGCCCTGGTTTACTACTAAGTTATTGGGAAGCTTATGATTTAAGGAGTAAATATGTACAATATATGTTCCTGAAGTGAAAAAAAAAATTATAATATAAAAACTGGTTCAAACCCATCAGACACTCCTTGGAAGGAAGATTGGATAATCTAGTTCCATAGAGATACTGCCTCAGAAACCCAAGGAGGGATTGCTATGAGTCGAATTTACTCGATGGCAGTGAGTTTTTTTTTTTTTTCCCTAACATTTATTGAGTACTGGTGGTGTAATGGGTTAGGTATTTGGCTGCTAAGCAGAAGGCTGGTAGTTCAAACCCACCAGCTGCTCTGCAGAAGGAAGATAGGGCAATCTACTTCTGTAGATTTACAGTCTTGGAAACCCAATGGGGTAACTATGAGTTGGAATTGACTGTGTTTTTTTTTTTTTAACTCTGTACCAGACACTGTTCTAAATGTTCTACATGTATTAATTTATTTAATCCTCATAACAACCTTATAAATTTGGTACTACATATTGGTTCTGATGGTCCATTATCTGCCTTGATAGCACTAGCAATTCTTTCCTTCCTTGTATGTGCATGCCACTCCTCCTGTCAAGAGATGGAGTCTATTCATGCTCCCTTTAATTCTGGGCTGGCCCTGTGACTTGCTTTGCTCAACAGAACACAGAAGGAATGACATTGTGTTACAGACTGTATAAAGCCTCGCAGCTTTCATTTCCAATCTCTTGGAATGTTCCTATTTGGAATGTAAAGCAAATGGCCACAGACACTGCTATAGAGCTGGAGAATTCCCTACTGGGGCTTTATGCCACATAGTGTATAAACACATGGTGTGCAAACACAAGTGCCTCAAGATCCAGGTTTTCATGGCTATTATTTTCACTCATCTTATAGCCCATGCCAGATCCACTATGGTGAAGGACTTAACTGTACCCTTAGGGTCAGAGCAGATAGTCCCTGAGCCAAGGTAAGAGCTTGTTCTCAGATTTAAGTCTGTTACATGGTTGGAAGAATGCAGCTTCTTGGCTCTGAGAGACAATCAACTAAAAGAAACTTGTTTAAAAAACATAATAAAAGATTCATTGGGCTCAGTTGGCCATCACATAGTTCTTGCAATACCACCTGGATGAGTTATGTGTAAATGAATCAGAAACACACCCTCCGAATAATCAGCGTGAGATGTACTGGGCAGATGCATTTCTAGTTTTGCCCCAACCCAACATCTGAGAGTTGCCAAATCACAGTGAGGTGTGCCCATTACTCAGACAAACAGCTCTTTTCTTTTGTGTTAAGTATGAGGAAGTTGTAATCCTGCTGGCTTTGACATTTAAGGAAGTCACCTAGCTGATGGTGGGTCCAGACTGCTGTCTTGTGTGGCCCAGATCAAGGTCAAGTGTATGGCTTTCAGTCTTAAAGTATACTCAGACCACAACAGACCAAGCACAATTCTTCTCTGGTATGCAATGCCTACAAGGGCACCTTAAGCTTTATCCCATGCCATCACCATTATCTCAGTCTTGTGAAGCATCTCTTGTATATTTTACATTATAAAACTTCTTAGTGATATCCCAATAGAAAAAAAGGACAACAATGCAAAGGAATACATCTTATATCATTGTTGTTTGCTGGAATGGATGGTGGTTGCAGAGAGATGGTGACTGGCTGCTATTTGAAAACCTGGAAGGACAAGTGCAGAAGGAGTATCCAGCAAGGCAGTGTCAAGGTGATGCTGAGTCTTTGGAGATGTAACCTTCCTCTCTGCAAGGTTGTCCCCCTCTGCCTGCAGACAGAACTGAGCTGCAATAATGGTCTGCAAAGCTATCAAGGGTCTCAGAGGGGAGAGGTTGTCAAGAGCCAGGCAAGCCTGTAATTATGGTAATGAAATCATTCTCTGGGTAGGAGATAAGGGAGAACGTGCCCAACAGTTTGGTATTCTATATGTATTCAGACTGGAGTCACTGGAGTCAAAGGGATTGCCTAAACAAAACATGTCCTGCAATTTCTCCAACCTGGGAATAAAAACAATTTCATGTTTCAAGCTATTACCGTCAATACAACTCTTTTTTCAAACTGCTACTCAGATCCAAACAAAATAGATTTGTTGCCTGGTCAGGCAATGAGTAGCAAAATATGAATTTATTCCAAAAGCTATATCAATGACTAAATCTTAACAGCTTAGAGGTTTCTTTTTTCCCTTTAATTTTTAGTCACTGTCTCAACTGAATTAAAAAAGAAAATAACAAAACTTTAGGATCCACCCTTCCCTAGAATTAATAATGTGGGAACCTTAAACTGATATCAAAAGAAGAAATCTAATCTTGAACTTGAAATTTTATAGGCACCCAATTAAAAAGAGCTAATGAGTATGATCAATGACTTCTAAAATGATGGGGATTAGTTTTATATTTCCTGTTGCTCTCATTCTAGTTCTATGTTCTTTAGAGTCAAGGAATGCTTTTACAAAGATGTCTTGAGCAATAATAGTCATGGTGAGGTGAAGATGTGAGCATGAACACAACATATTTCCAAACTGATGAAGACTCTAGATCTGACATGCTTTCTCATACTTAAGACATATAATTGAAATGTCTTAGTATATTTGTTTCTTTCAGACTTTTCAACACAATGAATAAAGACAGTAAAGAAAAGAGACTCTTTTAAAAACCTTAAGTCCAACTTCTGGCAAAATTATCTCAGCTCTAAAAAAGAAAGTTCAAAATTGGTGCCAACATGGAAAATTCTGTCAAAATCATGAAATAAGGTTAAGATTCTATGCAATTTTACCAGCTTATTTCCTTTTCTTGGTAATTAAGATATTTATTGGAAACAAACTCTTCACTCTTTTTCTGAGAAGGACTTTCCATAGGGTAACAAATACAATTCCTATTGCAACTGATAATGCACTAATGGCAGTAAGAATATGGAAGCCATGCATGTCCCTCAAAAGACCTCTAAGCCTAGAGTGCAGTAGTGAACTAGGTGGGTGTTGGTTTGTATTTCCAAGAAAATTTTGCCAAGAAGTGAATTGATTTCCTCAGGAGAACAGAGCCTCCTGGGACAGGAAGATAGTCTTCTGATAAGGTCGAATAAGGAAGGGAGGAAATGGAATCCCAGTCTCTCAGATTCACCAAAGGTATAAAAACAAAAGTGGTAACCATAGCTAACTGCTTTCCCAAAACATGATTGCTTTTTCTACACAATGAGTTCTAATTTTCAGGTATAAAAACTAGACTGGAGAATTCAAGTTCCTAATGTGTACGGAAAGTAAGATATAGTGCCTCAAAACTAAGTCTTCTAATTCCAAGTTATTTTTTTTTAATATGTTTCCTCTGTCATCTTTATCCCTGTTATTGAACATTATTCAGCATCTAGGAACTCTGGTAGCATAGTGCCTAAGGCACTTGACTGCTAACCAGAAGGCTGGCAGTTCAAACCCACCAGGAAGTTGGGCAATCCTACTTCTGTAGTGATACTGCCTTGGAAACCCAAGGAGGGGTCGCTATGAGTCGGGGCTGACTCGACGGCACATAACAACAACAACCAGTTTTGAGAAGCCTACCTTGTCCCTGACACTGTGCTAAGTGCTTCATATAGATCATCTCATTTATTCCTCACAGACAACCATATAGTTGGCAGGATAATCATTCTATGGAGGTCTGGGGTGGCTCAAATAGTTAAGCCCATGACTAATATCTGAGAGGTTGGTAGTTCAGATCCACCCAGAGGTGGCTCAGAAGAAAGCCCTGGAAATGTGCTTCTGAAAGTTATAGACTTGTAAACTGTATGGAGCACAGGTCTACTCTGCAACACATAGGGTCACCAGGAGTCAGAACTGACTTGACAACAACTGGTGTATGGTCATTCTGATTTTAAAGACAAGAAAACTGAAGCACAGAGATGCTGAATAACCTGTATGAGGCCACAGAGGTCAAGGCTAGCCCACTAAACAGTGGTGTCAGATCCCCAAAGCAGGTCAGTCTAACTCCCTAGATCATACTATTGACAATAGTGCCTAAGGAGAATCTGTGCAGAATGGGGAGTGAGCTGTCCCTAAGGGTATGTGGGCCAGTATCTTTGGTATAAAAATTTCTTTGTTCATACTTAGCCAGACCTGCCATTTCAAAGTATTTTTGAAAAAAAAGAGGGAGAAAATCTGAAGCAGAGGCATGTACAACTTGTATAATCCTGGCCAATTTATCTGATGGTATCTTGCGGTACTCGATGGGGAATAGGGGCTTTAGATAACATTTTAAAAGTCCGCTTCAATGGAAGAAAAGAAGTAAGTACAGTGTATTTGATGAAATTAATACAAATCTCAGCTTGATCCTGAAAAAAGAAATATTTGTTTGTGAATAGCTACTGTAGCTATGAATTGTTGCAGTAAGCCTAGTAACGAGTTTATTTTAGAGGTTTCTGTCTTTGCAATCTGACCATCATTTGCAGAACAAAAACCCAGACAATGATTCTAAAATTCAAGCCTAACTTGTCCTGAATAAGTTTTTTTCTTTTTTCCTTTAAACCAAACCCAATATCCAGTATTGCTTTAGATTTAATAAGGTGATTCGGTTCAGGAGTTTGAGGCTATTTCTTTCTATTTTGTGCAGAGTTGTGTGTTTTCTGCACTCACTTCCACAACTCGCAGCCAGTCTTAACCTGGAGACCTGATCTACTTGGGAGAGAGGCCTCTCAACTTAGTTAGGTGAGGCCAAAAAACTTCCATAGAAGCAGATTTTGTGGTCTTTATTATATCCCTTCCTAAAAGCCAAGA